CTGGGAAGGGTTCGGCTGGGAGCTGAGCGCGCTGGGGCAGGTCTCTCGACAGCACGGTTGGGTAGCTCTGCCTCGACCTTGTTGGCCAGGTCCATCATGGCATCCTCGCGGTCTGGCCTTAAGATGGCCTCCTGATGGAAGAGGCTCTTGATGAACGCCACTGTGGCTGCCACAGTGCAAAGATCAGCGCGTCGGTCAGGCTTCGGGACACTCCGCACGGCACCCGCGTCGGCATCCGCGACCACCACTACCACCTCCTCGCCCTGTCTCTGGCCGTCCTCGGCGCGGGGGCCCGCCCCCGCGGCGCCGGCCACCTCGCCCTTGAAGAACGCCGCGTCAAACCCTATCACGGGGAGGCGTTCCACCTCCGCGTCGAGAAGCTCGCGGGGCCCGTCGCGCCAACGTCCCCACTGACAGTGCTCGCACGAGCGCCGCGGTGGGCAGTGCTGGTCCTCCTCGTGGCGCTATCTCTCCTCTGGCGTCGGCTCGCGGACGTCGGGGAACGCGGTCGGTTCCAGCACCTGCCCCGTCTCCGCCTGACGACTCATCCCCTCGCGCCATAGCTCGCGGAAGTCACCCGTCGCCGCCCTCACCTTGCGTCTGCCCTCGTATCCGACGAGCCGTGCCCAGCGCTGAGCCTTGGTCCCGTAGTACGGGGCGTAGACCTCCTTGAGGCGCTTCTGCGTGGCGTCGATCCTCGAGCTTGGTCCGAGCCCCTCGATGTATCACCGCCCCAGCGTCTGTGCCGCCTCAGGTGCCTGCTGGCCCTGCGCGGGCGCCGCCGCCCCCTGCGCCCCTGGTGGGGCCGCCGCCTCCTGCGCCCGCGGTGGCGCCGCCGCCTCCTGCGCCCGTGGCGGCGAAGCTCCTGCCTCTGGTGGCGCTGGGTCACGCGACCCTCGACCTTCTGGGCGCGGCGGGGGGGCCTCTCCTCGCGCCGCCCCCCGCGGAGCTCCCGCGGCACCTGCCGCGGCGACCCTGGCGGGGCAGGCTGCGAGCTTGGCTTCGTCCATCGCGTCGTGGATCCGCGCAGCGAAGTAGAACGCGTTGCCAACTAGCTTCGCGCCCGCGCGCTCGCCCGTCTTGAGGTTCACGGCGCGCGGGCCACTTTCCCCATGGGCAAACCTGAACTGCCTGCGCGCCAGCGCCCCGAGGCTGAGCGCCGCGTCCTGGGGGGGCCGGGTCGCTGCTCACTCTGAGGTCCCCCAAGCATGGCTGGCGACCCTTCTCGCCGCCGGCGACCATCGGGATCCGACGGGCCCCGCCGGTGCCAAGCTTCTGGCCGCTCACCGCGGTGAGCTTCTGCGCAGCGGGGTCTTCCTGAACTGTCGGATGCAGTGATCCGAACGCCTGGCCGCAGAGGTGCTCATCGCTGCCACTGTCTGCGAGGGCGAGCCCTCCGCGCTCCTCCCCGCGGCAGCCTCCGACCGAGCTCCTGACTCCAAAGACCCAGCCGACCTCGTCGCCGTCGGAGCCCGCGGCCACCGCGCCCACGGTCCTCCGCCCCTCAGCGCCCGCAGGGGCATGCTGGACTGCGGCCGCCTCTGGGGGCGCCGCCGACGGCGCCCGTGGCTTGCCAGCCGCCATGTGCCAGCAGTCCTTCTCCTTGTGCCCCTGCTTCTGGCACCAGTTGCAGGTGCCCTCGACCTTGGCGGGGTAGCTGCCCTTGAGCTCGTCATTCTTGATCCCCTGCTTTCTGCCTTCTTGCTGCCTTCGCCGCCCTTGCCGCCCATCTTGTCACCGCTGCCGCCTTTGTCGCCCTTGCGGCCCATCTCGTCACCACTGCCGCCCCCCGACTTGTCACCCTTGCGCTTGTGCCAAGGCTGTTGCGGCAGGGCATGGCCCGATATCGCACCGATCTCCATCGGCGCCGCGCCGTGGCCCGCCGTGCCGCTAGCTGCGGAGACCTGTCCAGACTCCATCCCCTCTCTCAGGTGGGTCCTGAGCACCGTGTGTGAGACCTTGGCGGACTCCGGAGCGTTGCGTAGCACGGTCTTGCACGGTTTGGGGCTATGGATGAGCAGCGTGGCGATGCGAAACTCATCGCCGAAGTTCTTCCCCGCCTGCACGACGTACCTCGCCACGTCGTTGTCCCAGCCAACAAGCTGGTCGGCGAACGGCTTCTGGTCGTCCCACCTGGGGTTGAGCAGGCCGCTGAGCATGGCTGCGAGCCTGTTGCCCACCCCAGGCTCATACTCGTTCTTGATCGCTCGCCAGGCAACGACACCCTCGTGCCTGCCTGCGAGCGCAACCATCGCCAGCGCCTTGCGCTGGGTCTTGGTGATCAGCACGGCGTGCAGCAGCTTGCTCGTCGCTGCCGCGCGCTCGCGCATGCTGACGTTGTCCACCACGAGCGCTGGCTGGGCCTCAACATTGTCGATGAGGTCATCCCAGCCCATCGGCGCGAAGAACGCGTGGGCTTTGATGGACCAGCTGGGCCAGTCCTCATCTCTGCCGCTGAACTCTGGCAGCTTGATGTCGCCTCCGCAATCCACCAGCTGCTCTCTGGGCACCGCTGCCATGGACAGCGCGCGTCCTCAATCTTCCCGTGGACCTGATCTGCGAACCACGCTCCGCTACCATGGCGGAAGTTACGCGGCTGTGTGGGGGAAGCGTATATTGGGGCTCTTTTTCCTCCAACGCAGCTCGAACAAAAAGGACCTGCGGGCCTGTTAAGAATTGATGGCGTCCGAATCACACAAGGTCCCGAGCACAAATTAACTGGGCGCCCCAACTATTCTCGCACGATTAATCATCTGCGGCGCGGCTGGATGGACACCCCTGGCAGCCCGCCCAACGGCGCGGGAAGTGGACGACGCTCCCTTCTCAACCCTGTCACATGCAAACGAACAGTCAGCATTGCGACCATCAACGTTGATCGCGCTGTGCTCCATCAGGGTCATCGCCGCGGCAAGCGCGACCCGGCTCGCCAGCGGTAGCCGACAAGCACCGGCGGCCGGGAAAACAACAGAGGGGCGCGAAGTCGCCCGCGCGAAATTGCCCGCGCGAGATTGCCCGCACCAGCTCGCACGCACGAAATGGCCCAGAGCTGCCGCCCAGGATGGCCGCAAGGAAATGTCCAAACATTGATTCCCTGGACTCGTCTGACCGCGCCAGTAGCGCAGTAGCGCCTGCGAGCGCTCAAAAAACCAGAAACCGACACATGTTACGCCACGCGCATACATGTCGAGGCACGACAGCCACGGCAATCGGATCCCTCAGCGTGCTGCGGCGCCACCTGCGCAGTCAAAGGAACCCCATTTCGTTTTGAAAATACGCTGTCTTTGCAAAAGGGGCCAAAATCGTTGATTTTCATTGTTTTTTTCGATGTTTTTTTTGCGTTCTGGCTTTTTCGGCTTCCGGACGCTCCAAGACGGCCCAAGAGGCCCCCAAGACCGCTCTCAGACGGCCCACGAGGCTCCCAAGACGGCCCCGGAACGGCCCAGGAGGGCCCCCAAGACGGCCCAAGTGCCGCCCAAGACGGACCAAGAGGCCCCAAGACGGGCCCAAGAGGGGCTCAAGAGGAGAACCGAGAACTGAAAAATCGAGCCCTCCGCCCCAGAAGGCGCCCAGGAGGCCCCAAAAAGGCCCCAAGAGGCCCCCAAGAGGCCCCCAAGACGCCCCAAGAGGCGCCCAAGAGGCCCAAAAGAGGCCCCAAGAGGCCCAAAAACGGCCCCCAAGAGGCCCCGAAACTCGGCTAGCCCACAACGGTGCGACAATATGGGCCGGCGGAATGAGCGAAGCGATTAAATACAAGACACCTTTCATCGACCGAACCTCATCTCTCAGGTTTTCGTGTGAGAAAAGGTATGCCTGAAACCTTGCTCGATCCACAGTCTTGCGGGCAGTACCTACATCCATATCCAGAGCGTCGTGGACTTTTTGGGAAGAGGTGCCGCAACGCCGAGGCGCACTGGATATAGATAAAATCAAGCCTCCTGGGGCCAGAGTTTTATCCATATCCAGTGCGTCTACGGTTTCTGGGGAAGAGAGCCCAAGAATCCAAGACGCACTGGATGTGGATATAATTATTGCCCGCAAGTCTGGCCAAACCCGAGCAGGTGGAAATGGCTCTTGAACACGATGGCCCATTGCCCGATCTTCGCTCGATACCCGACGAACATTCCCAATTTCGTTTCCGAACGAGTGTGACAAAAAACTGCCGACATTGATTTGCCATCGTCTTGGCACTTACCGATCTGCTTCTCACTTACGGAGCTCCTCCGCCCCGCCCACTTCACTCTATCTATCCGCTGCTCACTGAACTCTCCGCTCTGGTCGTCACCCGGGAGTGTAGGCAGTCTCGCCGCCTTCGCGCCCAAGTGCTAGCAGCACGCAGCTGTCACTATGCAGGAATCTGGCGGCGGAACTCGCCCTTGCAGGGGATTATGATATTTTGCTAAACCAAACGACTGCGGAGCGGACGGTGCACGCCCGACTTCGTGCAGGGCCTCAGGGCACCCACAGCATCACTTTACAAAGTCGCCCTAAGGCGGTGTTCCAATGTTTCATCCAACATCTTTTTTGTTGACGACCCCTAAGCCGAGTAAGGGCCCACAAGGGCCGAAAATTGCGAAAGCCTACCGTCATGATTTCTGTCACGCCGCGAACGGTTGGGGAGTGTGCGCTCCCCCCCCCTGGCGGGATGGGCAGGATTGCAGCAGCGCTTCCCGACCTCTGCAGCCACAAGAGAGCTGTGCTAGCAGCACACTGTAACTTGCACACCAACGTGCAGCCCAGGGAGAAAGTCATTGTGTGACCCCCCCGTTTGATTTGGACGCCTGAAATGGGCACAGAAAAACTGGGTAGGATGCCCAACAACAACTGTTGTCCAAACCTGAAAGACGTCGCGTTTGGGCAGGAGAGATTGTGTCCCAAGTGGGCAACGACGGCGGCGACGCCAACAGCGAACTCCTGTTCATGATGAGCAAGAGCTGCTGTCGGTATTCGCTGCAGCTCGACCCATCCGTTCCGTACCCACTCCAATCGTACCGATGTGAGGCCTCGGGCCCCCAGAGCGGCACTGCCGCCCTTGAGCGCGGCCCCAGGCCCGACCAGCAGACCCGCACCGCCGCTGGCGCGGTGGCCGCGAGGGCCGCGGCGGCCAGCCCGGCCGCGAGGCGCGCGAGGTGCCGCCCGGACGGCGCGGTCGTGGTGCCCGGGGCGACCGCGACGCCCCGCGCCGCCGGGCACGGCCCGCGGTCCTGAGGCCATCGTCGGCGATGCAAAGATGGGTCCCTTCATGAAGGGCAGGGCCTCGATGGATCGGAAGGGACGCCAGGTGGCGGACGCTCCGCGCCGCCAGGCACGACCCGCGGTCCTGAGGCTTCGTCGTCGATGCAAAGGTGGGTCCCTGACGGGCGGGCTGGAGGAGCCAGGGACCTGAGGGATGGGTCGATGCAGGGGCGATGCACAGATGGGTCCTGAGGGATGGGCCAGGAGCCACGAGCCGAGGGCGATGCAAAGATGGACTCCTGAGGGAATGGGCACTAAGAGCCAGGGGCCTCAAACAGTATAGCTCCACGTGGGATCCCTTCCTATCCTGAGGGCCCCGTCCCTCAAAGCCCTGTGTTGAACCGCCGACATTGGACGTCGAAGTGTCCCGAAAAGCAGTTGGCCAGCATGAGCGGCCTAGGGGCCTCCAAGGGCCCCGCAGAGGCCTCTGTGCACCTCTGCTCGGAACCCCAAAGAATGCCTAGAACATCAAATAGCCTTAGTTATATGTATGTTATTATGTCGTTATGTCTCTCTCTCTCTCTCCCTCTCGTTCTCCATATGTATGTGTATATATACATATATGCATGTGTACATAGATGTGGTGTACACACTAAAGGTATGCAGTCATACACACATGTGCACCAACATCTACACACACGTGATACACACCTACATACATGCATGCATGCACACAAACATATATTATTGCAGACGTACCATTATACATACCGGCAGACTACCTAGCGTCCGTCATAGCTACCGCCCTCCCTATATATATATATATATATACATACATCCAGTAATTCATACATACATGCATACATACATGCAAGCATGCACACATACGTGCGACGCATGCATGATTGACTCACTCCATGCGTATACACATGCATGCATGTATACACACATGCATGTATACATGCATGCATGCAAGCATGCATGCAGAACGACATAACAACAAGATACCGGAGAAAAAAAACAATCAGAATTCGTTTGGGGCTATAGGGCTATAGGCCTATGAGGCTACTATAAGGCTATAGGGCTATAGGGCGATAAGGATATAGGTCTATAAGGCGATAGGGCTACAGGGCACCTGGCACCCGGGCACCCGGCACCCGGGCACCCGCCCAGGCACCCGCCCGGGCACCGGGCACCCGTCACCCGGGCATCTGGGCATCTGGGCACCCGGGCACCCGGGCCCGGCCACCGAATTGGCGGCGAACCTGGGCACCCGGGCACCCGAGCACCCCCGGGCACCCGGGCACCCGGCCCCGGCCACCGAAATCGGCCGCCGACCTCACCTCAGCTTTATATCCGCTAGGACCCCTACAGAGGCAAGCTCTGATTGGCAACATAAAGAGAGCAAGGCGGAGGTGTCATACAGACAGACAGACAGACAGACAGACAGACTGACAGACAGGCAAACCGACAGGTACATGTATCTGTACATATATATGTATGTATGTATATATATGTGTGTATATATATATGTATACATATATACACATAATCGCCACTGTGCCCTTGGGCACGGAGTGGGCGTGTCCTCAGGTCCTTCGAATAATTACTGGAGCCTCGGTCCACAATCAAACGAATTCTTTAAGGGGCGCGGACCCCTGATCCCGAAAGTTGGCAGGGCTCGCGTTGTGACCCCTGGGCACTGGCGCGCTTCCCCGCGATATTTTTCCATGCCCGAGAGGGTCGAAAACGGGCAAATAGGGCCCCACAAGGCCCCCAAGACGGCCCACGAGGGCACCGAATCGCCGAAAGATCGTTCCAAAACGGCCAAGATGGCCTCAAGATGGCCCAAAAGGTCACCAAAACGCCCCAAAAAAAACGGCCCAAGAGGCCCCCAAGGCCACAGCAAAACTGCCCAAGAAGAGGTTCCGAACACGGCCTCAAAACGCTCCAAGCAGGCCCAAAGGCGCCGAAGATTGCCCAAAAAGGTTCGAAGACAGCCCAAGATGGGGGCCCGAAAATGGACACCGGAACCGAAAATCCGAATCGTCCGCCACAAGAGGCCCCAAAATGCCCCAAGAGGCACCCAAGAGGCCTCCAAACAGCCCAAAGAGGCTCCGAAACGGTCCCCCATAGGCCCAAAACCCGCAGCCCACGCACGGTGGCGGGATGGGCCGAAGACCGCTCGATTGATTTACTAGAACCACGCGCGCGTGTCGCGCGCAAGTGGCTTCTGGTGCAGCCCAAACCTACCTCACAAGGTCGGGCGAGGATGGCCGTCGTCCCGCAAGGATCACCATATGGGAGCGCAGTTCCTCTTGAACGCTTCCAGAGTCTGCCAGCAGGCCCCAACAGATCCCGCTGCGCTGAGCAGGTGTACGATGTAGCTGTCCGAAGGGTCTTCTTGAGAGGCCTCTGGGGGCCCGTGGCCAGCGGACCGCCTTCAGCGGTCTTGAAAATCTCCGGGGCGTTTTGAAGGCCCCCCAGACTATTTCGGAGGTGTCTTCGGAAGTCCCTTGGTACCCCTTGGGCCAATACTGGGCAATTCATGTCCTTTAAAGGCGACCGGAATCAATCGAAGCCGCCTCGGGTGCAGCCTCGGGCATCTCTAAGGCCGTATTTTGTCCTGCTGGGGAGCGTGAAGATGTTGCACTGCGCGCGGTGGCAGACAGATGGCGCGGCTCACTCTTCCCATGGAGGCGACGTCCACCACGACGTCGCCACACAGATATTCGCGAACGGCAAATCACCCAGCTGTTCGTTTCCCAATTCGGCTTGCCTACTTGATAGAAGATTGGTCTCGGAACCCTACTTGCATGTTCCCCACAGATCCCCCGGGTTCTCCAGGCGCCTCGTGCCAAGCAGTGCCAAGCAACGTGGTCGATGGCAGTCGCATCCCGCTGCCGCCGTTCTTCAACAATGCCTGTCCCCCATGGCCTTCTGACAAACACTTGGATGCTCCCCGACTCCGTGGGTTCGCTCGCCGCTCCCTGGTTCTGGTTCGACTTGCCCTACGCGCTCAGCCCCTGCAGCCTTTGCCTCAACTCCTGGGCGTGGGCGCGATGTCGCTCCACGTCCACTGCCAGGACGCCTCAGCAACGGCCGGCCGCTCTGGCCACTCCTGCCGAAACTTTTCGTGCGGTGAGTGCCCTCCTCCCCCGCCCGTTTTCTGCCGCTGTCCACAACCTCCCTCCCACATCGTGCTGGCGGACAATTGATATGCCAAGCCCCGTGCTACTAGAGCGCTTGCGGATTACCACTGCCGCGCTGAGACGAAACATGTGCGCGCGTGTGTGTGTGTGTGTGTGTTTGCTTGCCTGTGTGTAAGCGCCTGTATGTGTGCTGCATGTTTGTATGTATGTGTAGGCATGCATGCATGCATGCATGCATGTATGTATGTATGGTTGGCTGTATGTACGCATGCATGCATACATGCATGCTTCTATGAGCGTAAATGTATGATTGTTTAAATACGTGGATGTACGTGTGCATGTGTGTGTATGCATGATTGCATGATGTTGCGTGTGCATGCACGTACGTATGTATGGATGCATGTATGGATGTATGTATTCCTGTTTGTGGTTATATGTTTGCGTGTATGTACGCATGCATGCATGCATACGTGCACGTAGGAGAGAGCGCGTTTCATGGGAGCTTGCTTTGGGAACATTCGGCGGCGCGTTTCGAAAGGGGGGTGCCCCCCCCAACACTCGGCACCGTCGATCAAAACCAGCTGACTCCCCTCCCCCCGAAACCCTCCCCTCCCGACCCCCCCCCTCCCTCCCAAGGCAGGGGGGGGGTTCAAAACACCCGCCCTCCCCCCATCGGCGCCGGCGCCGGCGTTGGCTGTCGCCAGCAACGCCGACGGCGGGGACGCAGCGACGATGCCCAGAGGCAGCCCAAGGGGGGGGGGTCTGAACCCCCCCCCCCTCTGGCGCCGGCAAAGGCAAGGACGCAGTGACGATTGCCACCACTACCACCACCACCACTACCACCACCACCACCGCCTCAACCCACCACCACCACCAACTCACCACAGTGCCACACAACCACCACCACCACCACCACCACAGCCACCACACCACTACCACCACCACCACAACTCACCACAACTCACCATCACCACCACAACCACTAAAACCAACCACCACTACCACCACCACCACCGCCACCACAATCTACCACACCACCAGCACCACCGCCACCACCACCACCACTACCAGGAGCAGCTCCACCCACCACCACAACCACAAACCACCACAAACAACCACAAACCACCACACAACCACCACCACCACCACAGCCACCACCATCACCACCACCTCCACAAACCAACGCCACCACCACAACCACAACCACCACCACCACCACAAACCACCACCACACCACCACCACAGCCACCAACACCACCATCACAACACACCACAACTCACCATCACCACCACCTCCACTAAAACCAACCACCACTACCACCACCACTACTGCCACCACAATCTACCACACCACCACCGCCACCGCCCACACCACCACTTCCACTACCAGCAGCAGCACAACCCACAACCACCACCACAAACCACCACAAACCACCACACCACCACCACCGCCACCACCACCACCACCACCACAAACCAACGCCACCACCACAACCAACCACAACAACCACCACCACAAACCACCACCACCACCACCAAACCACCACCACCACCACCAAACCCACCACCACCACCACCACTAAAACCAACCACCACGAGCCTACCACCAAACCACCACCACCACCACAACCAACAAACCATCAGAACACCACCACCACAAGCACCAGCACCGCCACCACCACCACCACAGCCACCATCACCACCACCACCGTCGTCCTCGTCGACGCCGCCACCGCCCGCAGCCGCAGCCGCTGGCGCTGGCCCAGAAAAAGAAATCGTCGTCCCCACCGCAGCCGCCAGCCGCCGCCGACGCAGGCGCCGGCCCGACGAGAGGGAGAGAGGAGAAGTAGGGGGGGGGCCGGTTCCAACCCCCCTCCCATCAAGCGACCACAGAACGCGCTCTTTCGTATGTATGTAGGTAGGTAGGTAGGTAGGTAGGTAGGCAGGTAGGTAGGTAGGTAGGAGCGTCTGTAGGTAGTTACGTATGAATGTACGTGGGTATGCAGGTATGTGTGTCTGATTGTGTGGTCGTACTCCTGTATGCGTTGATGCGAGCATGCAAGTATGTGTATGGTTGTGTGATGTGTATGTATGTACGTGTGCATGTATGCATGCATGTATAGATGTACGTATGTATCTACGTACGTGTGTATGTATAAATGTGTGTGAGTACGTAGGTATGCCGTTAGATACGTGTGTATGTCGTATGGATGTGTGTATGTATGTATGTATTTGTGTATGTGTATGTGCGTATGTGCATGTGTAGGTATGCGTGTATATGTATGCATGTGTATGCGCGTATGTATATGGTGTATATATGAATGTGTGTATGCATGCATGTATGTAAGCATGTTGTCATACATGTATGTATGTAATATATGTGTTTACATGTTTGTATGTGTACGTATGTATGTATGTATGTATGTATGCATGCATGCATGCATGCATGTATGTATGTATATATATATGTATATATGTATGTATGTATGTATGTATGTATGTATGTATGTATGTATGTATATATGTGCGTATGTATGTATATACAGCTGTATATGTATGTTTCCCTGTACTCATGCATGTCGGAGGTGAGGGGGTGAGATCGAAGTGGAACGGATAGCCCCCCTACCGGGAAATCGATTTCGGTTTCGTGTTCGTGCGTGCCGTGCGTGCGGGCGAGGCGAAGCTGCGTGGGCGGGCGAGAAGAAAGTCTCCAATGGCTGAGGCGCGGCCGGACCAAATGTCTCCCTTCCGGGCGGCCGGTGGCCCGCGGAATCCCGCCGGTGTCCCGCTGGTGTCCCGTGTGGCTGAGGCGCGGCCGGACCAAATGTCTCCCTTCCGGGCGGCCGGTGGCCCGCGGTGTCCCGCCGGTGTCCCGCGGTGCCCCGCGGTGCCCCGCGGTGCCCCGCGGTGTCCCGCCGGTGTCCCGCGGTGTCCCGCGATGATGATGATGATGATGATGACGATGATGATGATGACGATGATGATGATGATGATGATGATGACGATGATGATGATGATGATGATGGTGATGCTGACGATGATGCTGCTGATGATGCTGATGCTGATGTTGATGCTGATGATGATGATGATGATGGTGATGCTGATGATGATGCTGATGTTGATGAGGACGATGATGATGATGATGATGATTTTTACTCGGCATCAGGACCAATCAAACTGGAGCCAGCTTGCAATAGTAAAAAGAATGATCCGCCGCAGAGTGCCATGGAACTCGTGAAGCCCCGTTCGTTGGGCCGCTGTCGCGAGGGTGCTGGCACAGGGGGGCTGCGCTGCGCTGCCTCGTAACGGAAGACATCTATAAGAAGAAAAAGTGTGCCGCCTCATCTTCGGCGTCAAACTCAAACGGGGCCTGCGTGCTACTCGGCTGGTCGGGCGCACTCGATGGCGCTGAAGGGGTTTCAACTGGCGCTAGCAAAGAAACAGGCACGGGTGCTGGCGAAGCGTCAGTGGCACGCGGGCGTTGGAAAAGCACAGAGTCTGGAAGTGGCGCAGCCTGCGCTGGCAGGCTGGGCGACACGAGCACTGGCTGGGCTGCACTTGCCATGGGCGCTGAAAAGGGCGTGCCTTGAGATGGCGCTGGCGTGTCTAAAGAAACTGGTGGCGTGAGGGGAGCGGCACACATATGGTGGACTGTCACACCGCTCCTGGACGCAGGCAGGGATTCACCCCTGACGAAACGAATTGCTACTGCTCGAGAGTCTCCAACCAATGAGCCACTTCTTCCTCGAGCCATCCTGCTGGCGCCACTCCGCGGTGGTGCTGAACCGATCCCTCTGAGGCCAGCGCCTTCTGAATGATGAGGCGCCCCTCCCAGGTTGGGGCCCCGATGATGAGCTTCATTTTGTCCGTGTCGAAACAACTCTCGAGCCGTATGAAGCTGATGGCGGTCTGCAGATCGTCCTTTGATGATGATGATGATGATGATGATGATCGAGGGAGATCGAGTGTGATATAGATCGAGTGAGATCGATTGTGAGATCGATTGTGAGATAGATCGAGGGAGATCGATCGAGCGAGACCGATACTGAGATCGATAGTGAGACCGATCGAGTGAGACGTTGGTTCCTCCCCCCCCCCGAACCTCCTTATCACCCGAAGGGTGGTCGTATAGGTATGGATATGTGTATGGATGTACGTATGGATGGATGCATGCATACATGCATGTAGGTAGCTAGGCAGGCAGGTAGTTCTGTATGAACGTATGGATGCATGCATGCATGTATGTATAATTGTATGTACGTATCTATGTAGGTAGGTTGGTAGGTAAGTATGTGTATGTGTATGTGTGTTCGCGCTGAGCGCAGGGCCGCGACGACAAAATATGTGTGCACGGCATACGCTGGCATACCCGTTCACGGAGGGGCGACATCGGCGAGCTCAAAAAGGGACTCTGGACAACATGCGGAAGTGCGCACCCCTACACCAAAAGTCGGAGCACGGCGGGTTGAGACAACTATAGCTAAAAATCGGCCGCCCGACCCCTCCCAGGGACAAAACACACAAGCTGTCCGAGCTGCGTCCAGCCGTAGCGACGATGCCCCCCCACCCCAAGGGCAACTGCCGTCGCCTCACTTCGCCCGCCTCTGAGGAAGCCACTTCGGCGCGCAGGAGGCAATTCTCCTTTAGGTTCTGGTCAATTTGCGTGCCTGGAGGGGGAAGGGGAGGCGGGGGCCTGGTGAGGCCCGAAAGGGAAACAGGACTTGGCGCAAGTCAGAGATCACTTGCACGCCTTCTCGGCCCAGCGCTGTGTGAACGGCGGAGGGGGAGGGGAGGGGGCTGAGGGGGAGGGGGGGAAAGCCATGCACGTAAACTTGCCCGAGCCCTGAGCCTAAAGCAAACAAAACGCTCGCCATCAATCGCAACCAATCGCGCGCTCCGGTCCTCCTCGTCGCTCCGGTGCGGCAGCAGGCTCGCCGCCGCCGGACCGGCCTCCAGCGGGCGGCCGGCGGGGGCGGCCGCCTCGCGCGGCCACGCCCGGAGCATGAGGCTCATCGCGGCGGCGACGGCCTCGCCGCGCCGAGCGGGATCGGAGGCTGCCAGGTCGAGGGGAGCACGACTTGTCGAATCGGCAGCGTCTGAGGCGAAGCCAGGCAGGACGGAGATAGAATCGGGTCAGGATAAGTGGGAAATCTCTGAGATCCGGTGGCGATACCACTACTTCCCAGAACTCTCCTGGGGGGTGAGTCCTGACCACGATCTCGAGGCGAATCCGGCGGTGGCGACGAGGGCTTCCCAAGAGGCCCCCCCCCCCCAAAAAGGAAAACGGGCGGAGGGTAGCGGTATGGGTACTTCTCCTCCTCTGGACTGGGGGATGTCTCGGGCGCCGCGGCCTAGAATGCTTCGAGAGCGGTACGGAACGCTCTGGAGCGGACTTGTCCTCGTCCCATAGCCTTGCTTGGATCGCCGCGGGGGGTGCTAAGAAGATAGGGGGACACAAGCGGATGCTAAGGTGGGTTCTATCCAGCCTTACCCAGCTTAGAAGTGGGTTGCACATGCCCTAAGGGGCTTCAGAGCGCACGGATCTGGGCTAAGTGGGAGGAGCCACCTCATCACTCTAAGCCGCATAGGGTACTTGCTACCCATATATACGTTGGGTTAGTGGGTTAGGCCAGATCAAATGCACTTTAACATCCACTTCTACCCCCCCCCATCCCCTTAGCAACCGCCGCGGCGAGCGCCGGCGAGATCAGGCGCGATCGCGTCGGCACCAGCGGGGCGCGCTCCGGGCGCGGGGGCGGCGAGTCACAATTGGAAGCGAAGAAGGCGGCCGCAGAAGAGGTCTCAAGCCGCCCTCCCTCTTCCTACTCTTCCTCTCTTTCGCCTCCTCCTCCTCCTTCCCCTCCTCCTCCTCCTCCTCCTTCTCCTCTTCCTTCCCTTCCCCATCCACCTCCTCCTCCTACCGTCCTCCTCATCCTCGTCCTCCTCCTCCTCCACTTCTCCTGAAGGAGGGGAAGAAAAAGGAAACCATGACCAAGAATGCACGCGGAAACGTCGTGCCGACTTTGGTCAGCGTCGATCTGAGTCAGCGTCAATTCGTGCATCGTCCTCGTGAAGCGGCGACGGCCGACATGGACCATGACCAAGATCGGCATGTACAAGATCCCGCAACATCTTGGTCATGGTCCCCGTCTGTTTTCCTCCAGAAAAAGGCCCGGCGGCCGAGAGACGAGAGGGAAGGGGCGCGCGGGCGGGCTCAGGCGCTAGGGATCCGGTGTGAGGTGCAGGACCCTAGACCCTAAACCCTAAACCCTAAACCCTAAACCCCAGGAAGGAAAGACGGAGGAGGAACGCATGAGTGACGGAGCCCCTCCAGGTCGAAAGGCGCACGCGCACCAGGGAAGCAACGCTCCTCTGCGCAGCGCTCGCGAACAAGGTACACCGAATCACGGGGAACCAGAAAATACCGATATACCGCTGCTTCCCGGACCGCTCCCAAGATTCGTTCTGATCAGAATTTCGAGGCGAATTCAGAAGGGGCGACGAGGGCCTCCCAGGAATACCGGCACCACTTCCTCCTATGGAGCCACTTGCGGAGGAGGACAACGACGACGCGACGACCGACGACGACGTCGAGCAGCGGCGCCGAGCGGCGGCGACGACGAGCGGCGACGGGCGGGGACGACGGCTGGAGGCGTCGAGCCCCGTCGCGGCCAGGCGCGGGCGGGCGGCGTGCCCGCGAGCGGGCGCGCGCGCGCGCGGGGCCACCCCCGGCCGCCGATGCTGGCGGGCGCGCGCGAGGATGCATGAGCAGGGGGCCACATGCGAACCCTGCCCCCTGCCCCCCACGATTTCTGAGGGGGAGGGGGGGGTTCGCATGTGGCCCCCGATGAGGCCCGTCGCCTCTCCGTCCCCCCTCCCCCCCTTCCCTGGTTTCAGCTCTTCCCTCCTCCCCCGTTCCACACCTCGAGCTTTCGCAAGAGTGCACCGACATTGAGTTCGCCAGCCTGTATTTCGCTGCGTTGCCTGCTTCTCAAGCTGCGTTGTCACCATGCGATGTAGCGCATTTCTGTCCTGACAGGACCGCGTGCCTACTCGAGAGGCAAACGAACAGACCTTGCGTTTGGCAGCTCTTCCTTCCAAGCGGAAGCCAAGCGATACAAACTACTCGTGCGGGTGCCTGCAGCGGTAAGGCTGCTTGACGAGGAGGCGAATGGAATAACATGATTCTGCCTGGAAGCGAAAGCGGGTAGGTTATTTACCCTCTGATAAGCAGCCGTTTAATACAAGGAAACCCCAGGATGGCCCCAGCCCCCCCACACAGCCCCAAGAGGATTCCAAGACTCCCGGATATAGCCTCAAGGTGTCCCCAAGAAGGCCCTACGAGGGGGGCTTGCGCGGACTGCTCGCGAGCGTTCGTTTAGCAGCAATATTATGTCTGGGTATCTCTGAAAATGCTTGTGGGGATGCGCGAAGCGTCAACAATTCGCCCTCCGTTTTTTGTTCAACCAACAGCAACCATCGCGGCCGTGCCTGGTTAATCTATCCTTTGGTGTGCTATCTTCCAGCTGTCCATTCATCTCCGCTCCTCAGCAACTGGATGCTGTTTTCTAGCCGTGAGCCGGCTCGGAGGAGAGCATGTAGATCGCAATGGAAACACACGGTCTAGTTGTGCGTTTGGCTCGAGCAAAGATTGCCGGTCAAGCCGGGCAAGATAGTGGGAGAACAGGGGGGGATGGGGCAAACGAGTGCCAAGGCACGCGGGTACAGCATTGGACGAAGTCCTGAAGTGGGCGGGGGCGGGGCGAACCAAAACCCCCCAGGGGCCCGAGAGGGACCGAAGAGGAAGGGAAGGGGGGGACGGGGGTGGGCGCAGAACAGAGAGACGCCGTCCACGCGTCAACTTGCCAACCTGGCTTGTCCACGCGGCGCCCAATTCACGTACACGTGACGGCCAGGGGCGTCTGGCGGCACGTGCAATCCAAAATCATCCCCCATGAGGCTGTAAAGATGCAGGCAAATTCGCCCGAGATCCCAATTCACCTAACTTCGCGCATCGCGTCCCGCGATGCGCGACGTGCGATTATCTTCGCGCGCTCGCGAGCCCTCGCGTCGCCCCGTTGGAGAAGGGCAACCGCTCTGGCCCAGACCACGGTTCGCGAAGTGAATCGCGCCCCCCCACGGGTGACCTAGAGGTCCCACCACGGCTGTTCCCGAGCCATTCCCAACAGGGGCACTCGGGCAGGTTGGGCGACTCTGCAGCGCTCTGCGGACCTGGGGGGCAGCTCACGCAGAGCCTGACTGGAGAAAAACAAAGCATCCCTGGGGTCAAACAGAGTATCCCTCCTCCTCCTCCTCCATCCTTCTCGTCCTCCTCCTCCTCCTCCTCGTCCCTCCTCCTGCTCCTCCTCCGCCTCCTCCTTCGCCTCCTCCTCCGCCTCCTCCTCCTCCCTCCTCCTCGTGCTCCCTTCTCGTCCTCCTCGTCCTTCTCCTCCTCAACCTCCTCCTCGTCCAAATCCTCGTCCTCCAATTCCTGCACGTGCTACTGAGTTCCCGCCACGCGGACCGAATCCACTGTGCCCCTGACTGCGTCACATCACACAAACTCGAGCGGGGAGGCGGTGGCGTCGACGATGGGCGGCGCAATCGAAATCCTCCTCCTCCTCATCTTCCTCGTTCTGCTCGTCCCTTCCCTCCCTCCCCCCCCCGCGGAAGGGGCGGACCCACACATCGTCGTTGTGGTCGGCGTGATGGTCGTCGAGTAGGTGGAGTCGGAGGATCGGACCGCATCCCCGATGCATCACCGATACTCGGCGGAGCCAGCGATGAATCGGCGACGTCGGCGTGAAGAAAGCTAGGCCCCACATAGAACCGCATCGCTGACACATCGGTGACGTGACGCGATCCTCCGAACCCCATATGTGAGGCCTAGAATGAATATGATCAAGACGCGCCCCAAGACAGGTCCCGGGGTCGGCGTCGTCGTCGAGGGAGGAGGAGGGAGGGGGAAGAAGGGGGAATACTGCGTGCTGTGCTGTAGACGAACGCCTAGCAAGCTTCCTGAGATCGGCAAGCAGGCTTGAAGAACGCAACCCAGCGTGAGCCCCAGTAGGGCAATGTTTTTTATTGCATGGGCGCATTGTGTGGGATTGTTTGGCAGTCATGTGCATACTGTGCGGCATTGCTGAGCGTTGCGTGGCATAGTTCTCATACGTTTCCGCACCAGTGCCTGTTCTCCTCTTCAACTGCAGCTTGCTTAGACAAGGATGACGTGGCGTGCAACAACTTGTAACGTTGATCCCCCTCTCCACCGCGGGGACGTCACCTGAAAACCTGGTGCGTGCGACCCCAAGACAGGGGCGGAGGGCAGAGACACGCACGGCATCCGACGAGAAGCACGAGACATTGCCCGCACATCCGAGCGACAGGAAACCACACGACGAACTCCACCATGTGGCCGCCAATTGGCAGGGACATTCCGTATTAGCCTGTCTACTAGACTCAGCGAAGCCATGCCATGAGCCTGGAAGAGTGGAGTTCCACACCTGTCGGCGGAACAGTATTGACACAAGGCCGACACCTTCTCACTATCAACACCGCCCGTCAGGCGACCGCCCAGTGGTGAGCCGCTAGCTTAAGATGGGGGTCGGGGTCTGGAGACACAATCGAAAACTTTCCAGTACACTGAAGCGGACTGGGTGGCGCTCAGCGAACATATTGGCGCACCGTGTCCGTGCCACACCCACCGGCAAAAACACAAGGCTTGGATTTCGATTTCTGCCTGCGGCCACGGGTGAGCAAACCTCCCATAAGCGTCTTAAGAAAGTAGCCTGCCAAGGTCAAGGATTGCCCCTCGCGGGGCCCAGGAGAACCCCCGAAGGACAACAGTCTTGGGCGACGGATCCCACAATGCAAGACGCTTGCCCAGCGTTTCAAGCAGGACCTCCGGGCAAAGCTGTATTGTGAGAGTGCGAACGGCCGTGCGCTGAGTTGGCGGGAAAAGCCAAGGTGGTTCATCTGAACGGCAAGCCTCCCTGGCAGTCCACAGCCGCATGAAAGCGATCGAGGCAG